CTCCTCCTCCTCCTCCTCCTCCTCCTCCTCCTCCTCCTCCTCCTCCTCTTCCTCCACCACCACCACAACCACCACCTCTTCTCTCTCCTCCACCACATCTTCCTCCTCTTTTTGTCTCTATATAGAGAGACAAAGCGCTCCTTCCCTCTCATCTCCCTTGTTCGGGCAGAGGGAACCTAACAGAGAGCCAGAGGCTAGGAAGACCTTAGACTGGAAGCTAAACTGACGAAATCTGGGGAATTGGCCATCCTTTCCTGTATGCCATCCTTCTCTCCCTCCTGCTGGCATTGTAGGCATGTTTGCCCTCCTGGAGTTAGGAAGCAAAATACCAATTTAAATGGATGCTGACAGAGCCTGTCAGATGCCAAGTGCTTGCTGCAATTGCTACTGGTCCAGCCCTTCCCCAGGAGAAGTGAGCTCATGCCAGTGCTGCCAGGAGCTAGGCCCTCTCTCCTGCCACCCTCCTTGGAGGGATGTGGAGGGAGACGTGTGTGCAGGCTGGGGAGCAGAGGAATGGGCATCTCCCATAGGATTTTCATCTTGGATATATTATAAATATAATAAATAGATATATTATTTAACCTCTCTGTACCTATGTTCCTCTAGTGTGTGGAGGGCACAGGAAGGAAAATATAATGTCTGCCTGATGCTTTTTGCAGGGATACAGAGACATCCAGGTTTTTTTAATTTTTTTTTTGAAAAACACCACAGAGAGACAAATAGTCTTCCAAAGATCATAAAGAAGAGTGTTAAAATGTACCTTCCCCCAAAGCCCCGGAGATGACTCTGGATCTAATAAATGAATTCTTGCTAGTGTGCTGGCCAGGATTAGTGGGTCAGTGTGTTAACCTTCCAACAGATGTATTTTGTCCAAAAACTAATCTTTCCAGATCTTTCTTCAAAGACAAGCAGAGGAGTTTAGCAGCATGAGGGTCTTTTATACTTCTGAATAACCTTTTACATATACAAAAAATTTTACACTTTAATTAGACGCCCATAATAGCATGGCAAGGTAAAGAGGTCAACGATGCTCCCATTTTATTGAGGGAGAAACTGAGCCTTCTGTTAGATGAATGAAAGTCAAGTTCACGCTGGTAATAAGGGAGTATTGATTGCCGAGTCTTTTACATAAGCAGAGCTCAAGAGACACCAGGTCTGCAGGGGCAGCACCAGCTTTACGCTTTTGTGCATCATTATTTTGATAACATTTAAATTTATTTATTATTTTGTGTGTATGGGGGGGTGCATGTGCCGCATCATCGGTGTAGAGGTCAGAGGCTAACTTGTAGGGCATCGGTTCTCTCCTTCCACTTTGTGGATCCCAGTGTGGAACTCGTGTCCTCAGGCTTGGCAGAGGGCACCTATCCCTGCTGAGGCACCCTGTCACTCAGTTTTCTTTTCGTCTCTCTGCCTATTCTGGACTCCACTTCCGTTTCTATGACTGCTGCTCCCCAAGGAAGGAAGAAATGAAAACCCACATGGGAAGGGAGAGTCAGGCTTGAATTATAGATGGTGGTGAACTAAAGCACTAACCTCCAGCGAGGCTTTACAAGACCATTCTCACCACTGGACCGTCAGCAACTTGCTGTGTTTGACCTGATGTCAATTGACTAACCTTTCTGCCTCTGAGTTCTCATAGTTTCAGACTGCATCATCCTGGCCAGGCTCATGGCAAGACTGGCATGAGAGAAGGAGGGAGAGAGAAGAGAGCTGGGAGGTGAGGACAGAGAATGAATAACAAGAGCTGAAAAACACCTTGCAACCACTCGCAAGTGATGCCTAGACATTTAATGGCGGTTCCCTCCTCAAAAGCCATGGCTTAAATATGGGAAGCATTGGTTAAGGCGCACTGTAGACAGGGCTCTGGTAGCCCAAGAAGGATCCTATTTAGGGGGAAGGCCTAATTATAGTTTCTTTTTCTTCTTATCTCCTTCTCTTGTTCATTAAGACCAAAGGACATTTGCTCAGGAAATCAGATCTTGGTTTCAGAAGATTTCATCTGCTCCCACAAATTGAATTCCCCACCTGGAGTCAAATTCTCTATTTATAACAGAGATATCATCTGCCCAGAAATCTGTCCTCAGTGGCGGGCCTAAGCTTGCTGAGGTGTGCTTCGAATGATGACTGGTTCCATGGGCTAGGTGGGCTTCGCAGAGCAGAGGCTGTGATTATAGTGTCTGGAACCCAGACTGTGTCTCTCCCAGGGATAGCTGGACCCCAGCTGGCTTTGCCAGTGAAGGCCCAACCTGAATCAGTGCATCAGTGCAGTTTTGGTTGCTACAGATGCAAGATAATGCTTGAGGGTTGGTCTCTTGACCTCCACTGCCAACCCACCATTCTTACACTGACAGATCTTGCCAAAGCATGATTGGTAGCCTGCCACTCCTGCTCAAAAGCCTCCACTGCCCCCTGTCATCAACCTGCAGCAGAAAATCCAAATGCTTCAGTGCCTGCAGCTCCCCACTTTTCCTTGTCTGTACTCTGGATCTTGCCTTTTAGTTTTGTTATTTGCATGGGTCTAGGATGCATTCCCTTTGCTCCCAGGGTGCAGCCCCATTGTAAGGGGCCCTAAGAATTAGGGGAAATATCATGCCAGAAGTATAGATGCTTTCTCTTTCTCTAGAGCCCCGATGCCAGAAAAAAAAAGTCTTATGTCCAAATTTGGGTAATTTGGGCTCACAACTAAATGTCTATTGGCCTATTTCCTGGCCTTTGTTTCATCTGTTCTATTAGTTGTAACACAACTATAAACATGGTAGAGGCAGATTTAGAATTTCTCTCTTCCTAGATTTAGACAAAATTGTAAATAAAATTGTTTTTTTTTCAGTTTTTTTAAATCTAGGCCATGGTATTTTTAATTAATTTATTAGAGAGGTAGAGGGAGAGAGAGTGAGCAAGAGTGACCAAACAGGTAGGTGCCCATGTGCCATGTATGGAGATCAGAGGATACTTATCAAGAGTCGGTTCTCTCCTTCCACAGTGGGTCCAGGAACTGAACACAGATGGTCAGTTTTCTGCTTTTGTTTGCTGAGCCATCTCACTAGCCCAGGTATGGCATCTTTTTAAGGCGGGCAAACTGTTAGACTCAGTGCCAGGCCTTGTATGCCTGGGATGATCCCTTTCTCCTAGGAATACTCAGTGCGTCTGCCCGCACCAGGCATTTGGCCCATATCAGAACCAGTACCTTGTCGCAGCATTGTGTTCTTGGCTTGGGCAGAGATCACCCTTTTGTGGGCACAGCCTTGTCCTGCCTCTGTGGGCACAAAATAAGCTTTAGGATTTGTTGGCTTTCTCTAAGTGCCTTGGGCCTGTTCATAAATATTCAGCTGACGGAGGTAGCTGGGCCCTGGTTCCTATCACAGTCTCTGCTGGCCCCCTGCAGCTCTATAGTCTCTGAGACATGCTGTGCTTACAGCTTTCTTAGCCCCCCTTTCACCATCTTATTTTCTTGTCCTTCACTGGGTGCTCCTAGCATCATCCAGTAGCCCTTTTCTTTTATTAATCATTTTGATGGTTCTTCTTTGGACCCTCTTCAGTTTCTCTGAAATTAATCATCCTGGAGGCAGCCAAGAAAAATCAGGGAAGTTGGAGAAGTTTGTCTTTCATATGACCAAGCCCTTCCCTCCAAGGGGTTCAGCATCTTCTTCTGAGATCACATGGTCATTATTTTCACTTCCTGCTCCCTGAGATTGAACTTCATGTCAAAAGGTGTATGAATAATCTCTCTATAATTTATGAAAAAATTCTTGATTGCTCAGCAAGATAATAGGGGCCTCTTTTACCCCAAGTGGCTAGAAGTTGAGACAAAATAATTATTATAAAATGATCAGAAATGCTTTTCCAGGTCTCAAAGCTCAAAGGAGACTGGTAGAAATCTATTCATTCCTTTCTCCCCGCCGTGTGTGTGTGTGTGTGTGTGTGTGTGTGTGTGTGTGTTGGTAGAGAGCAGCAGGTACTGGATCTGCAGTAATGTGCAGTTGCCATGTAGTTTCTTAGGGACACTCTAAGAAAACACACACACAAACACATACACACACCAAGCTCCAAAGCACCAGGCTGGGAAGAAATGTGTGTATGTGTACATATTTCAGCAGAACTGGAGGGGTGCATGTAGTTGTATATGTTTGGGTGACTGATTTGTTAGCATCGGGGTGGAAGGGTGCAAGTGCAGATGTTTGTGTATGTGTTTCTGTGTGTGTCTCTCTCTATGTGTGTCTGTGTGTGTATGCGCGCGCGCGCCAGCGCGCCTGTATGTTTCGTCTTTGGATGGGGGTGACTGTGGTTGAGCGCAGCGAATGTGGTGCGGCTGTGTGTGCGTGTGAGTGTGCGTCTGTGTCCGCTTGTGAACATGGCCCCAGGAACCACGCACATGCTTCAGACAGCTGTTTCTGGCATTCCCGGGGCTAGGGCTTTGCCGGACACCCCAGCTAAGTGGCCACCTTCCAGCAGCCAGGCCCCGCATCTCACCAGCTCTCCCAAAGGCGCCCACAGCCCCAGCGTGCACACAAAGGCTCCATAATGAACGCGCTGCATTCCCCTGCGCTGGGCTCCTCACCCTGCACCCCGGGCGGCCAAGGCGAGCCCGCCAAGGCTGAGACTCACCGAACACCGGGTGCCCAGCCCGCCGCTCCCCTTGGCCGCGCAAACTCCAGGCGGCCCGACGCTCGGCTCCCCCAACCCTGCCCCTGTCTCCCGGGGGCGCCCAAGCGTCCGTCGCCCCCTGAGCCTGCACGGGGCGACCCGCTACAGCCACGACCCACCCCTGGTCGGGCTGATCTGCGGGCGCGCCCCCCTAGAAGCAGCGCGCTTCTTACCTTCCTCCTCCTTCTTCTCCTCCTCCGCCTCGGCGGCGCGGCAGCGGCGGCGCAGAGGCGGCGGCGACGGCGGCGGGACTAGGGCGCCGGTGCCCCGGAGCCCGGCACGGGCGTGGGGCTCAGTGGCGTGGGGCGGCGGGGCGGACGGAGGTTGGCGGGGCGGCAGCAGCTGGCCCGGGACGCGCGGAGCTGGCGCGCAGGCAGCGGGCTGCGGGCAGGCTGGCAGCGGCGCGCGCGGGCTCCTCGGGCGGGCTCCATGGCTGCGCCGCGGGCGGCACCATCTCCGTGGCTCGCTCGTCGCTCTCTCGCTCCAGGAGTGCGGCAGGCTGCGAGGTGACGGATAGCGCCGAGGCGGCCGGACGGCCGAGGAGGGGAGGGGAAGGGAGAAGGGGCGGGGGAGGGGGGAGGAGGGAGGAAAGAGGGGAGCGCAGAACTCGGGGTGGGGGGGGCCCTCTCCGGCGCCTCTCGACCCTCGAGTGCTGGCGTCGGTTTCCCCGAAAGGGAAAGCAGCTTAAAGGCGCAGCAACTGGCTCGGGTCACAACTAAAAATAAACACAAAATTGACAATTGGAGAAAGAATTTCCCAAGACACGATCCAGCAACCCAGCCACCCAGCTAGGCGCTGCCTCACTTCTTGAACACGACCATTCAGGCTGGGCTTTGCCGGGAACTGCTGGCAGTGAAGAGGGCAAACCAATTTCTAAAGTGAACCCGGGAAAGAGGGTGGGGGGAGGAGAGGGGAAACTGCAGAGAAGGGGCAGTGGCAGTGATAGATTCGGGGCCTCCATTCTCTGCCCCCCCCCCGACCTTGCTTCTCTCCCCTTGTTTGCTTGCCTTAGGCTAGGGATGCTCTCCCTGCAGCTACCCTCCTGGTCACCAACGCCAACATCCTCACGCACCTTGAGTTTTGGGCTCAGGTTCCTGCTCGCCTGCTCGCAAAGCCTCACCTCAGCACTGGAGCATAAGCAGCTTGGAGCCCTGGCCCAGCCAGGGAGCCCACCTCTGTGAGAGAGCAGTCTGCCAGCTGGCAGAAGTCTGCTTGGAGCATGCAGTTGGTTTGGTGAGAAGGGAAGGAGGTTAAGGTGTGTGTGTATGTGTGTGTGTGTGTGTGTGCCCACAGCGTGTGTGCGTGCGTGTGTGTGTTCACCAGCGGATGGAGGGATGGAGGGAGGGTCCTGGACAAACACACACACACACACACACACACACACACACACACACACCATGCACACACTCTGAAGGAGAGCAGCTAGGCAGGCACAGCACAGTGCCTGATGAATGATCTCAGGGCATTTTTTAAGAGACACGTTGTGAATACTAAATGTACAGCAATGGAGATTCTAAAGAGAGCTCTTGATATCCCAGTGGGCACCAGCCCCTTTAGAGGAGTTTTAAGGACCAAGAAAAAAGCCACTCAGTGGGGACCCGGAGAAAGGGGAAGCTGAACAGTGGAATCTGAGACAGTGGGTGAGATTGAGGTCAGAGAAGACAGACGCAGTGGAGTTTAAGACCCTCTGGTGATGCCAGATCCACCATGCAAATTCGTAAATCTCCAAGCATTAGAGGCACCTGGGAGAGACAGTTAACACTGGCCCCTCTGGGCCTCAGGAGTTCTATGGTGAAAAGTGAGTCCTCCATTCCCGTGGTCCTGGATTCTGGAAGGGAGGCTGTTGGTAAACAAGGGCCCATTCCAGTTGGAATCTTTTCCTTCCCTCTAGTTTTACTGAAGCACCTGAGAGAAAAGGTGCTGAGACTGCAAGCAACTGTTAAGAGGATATTCTTGTAGCCCGTATGGGATACCCAGGGCACAGAGGAGAGTTCTGGGCTTGAGGATAGGGAGCTGTGGCTCCCTGCAGCTGGGATCAGCAGTAGAGTAGCTGACTAGCAGATTTAGCTATCCTTCTACTGAGCACACGTTTTGCTGTCTTTCTGGCAGTTCTTACCTTGAAAGAAAGGATGGAAATTCCTCCTTGCATCCGGAGGTCTCTGTGTCTGTTGGGGGGGGGGGGCTGCCTGGACTGGGAAAACAAGCTGATGGATTTATCAAAGACAGATGATGAGAGACAGCGAAAACGTTCAGGGAGAAAAGCACATCACATTCCTGACAGATGCAAGGCAGACTCTCTAACAAGAAGATGCTCTCAGGGACACTACATGCCTACACAGGGACACATGCAGAGTCATACATGAAGCACAGGCACACCAAGTAGTGCATACTCACACACACACACTCACACACACACTCTCTCACACACACATATCTAGTTAGAGAAGGACGTACTTAGAGAAGCAGGAAACAGCTGGCCTCCTGTATCCAGGAGCTAGGGAAAGAGCTGGACCAGTTTTTCAGTATGAACAAATAATATTTGCAGCCAGACAGGGCCTGGCTACTTTTCTTCAGGGTAGTGTTTCAAGTGATGGGATCCCTACATAAGGTCCCTTGATTCTCATCCAGTCCCGTCTTTGTTATCAGTAACAGATACCCAAGTTGGTGTTTATCTGTGCTTACAATGACACTCACTGGTTAGTAACTTCATGGAATGCATTTTCTGATTCGGATTAAGCCCTCTTTTGCCGCAGAGCTGGCTCACTCAAAGCATATGCTGAAGCTCCATTCAATCTGTTGTGTGGTAAACAGAAGTAAAGGAGTGGTGAAGGCAAGAGAGAGCTGGGGGTGGGATAGTGCCAATAGATACGTGTGTGTGTGTGTGTGTGTGTGTGTGTGTGTGTGTGTGAATGCTCCTGAGTGACCATCAAGGCACTGACTGCTTAGGATAACGATTAATCATTTAATGTTTGGAATCAGTTTGTAGTGCTGTAACCTAAAATAGGTCCTTCTAGTTTCTCCAGCTGAGCCTTACCTGTGGGATAAACGGAAAGCAGCTCATGCAGTTGGAGTGCTCTATGAAATAATGGGAGCTCTACATGACTGTCTGCCTCCTAGTCCGCTCCTCTGCTCAAAGATACCCAATTGTGCTGCACACTTTTAATCCCAGCACTTGAGAGGCAGAGGCAGGCAGATCTCCGTGAGTATGAGGCCAGCCTGGTCTATAAGAGCTAGTTCCAGGACAGGTAGGGCTGTTACACAGAGAAAGCCTGTCTTAAAGAAACCAAAACAAAAAACAAAAAAGACACCTGATTGTGTATTTTACCTAATTCCTGTCAGTGGATATTCAGCATTTACACTGATTTTTCTGGTCAAAGGAAGTCCTTAAGCAGGCTGACTGCCATCCACACTGACTGGATTCACTTCTGAAAGAAAGACTAGTGCTGAGAGAATCATGTAAGTAGTGTCTTTGTTTTTGTTGTCTGAGAAGTTGTGTGCATTCCTCTTGCTCAGTCGAAATGAGAGAGGAGGGGATGTAAGGGGTGGGGTACAGAGAGGGCAGGGTGAAGGTTCAACACTGTGCCCAATGTAGCAAAAAATAAACACTAGTATGTCTAACTGGGGGCCTTGATTTTGTCACATTATAAAATTCGGTGAGGAGGGGGAAATACTTTAATGTCTTCAAATAACATGCTAAGTAGACAATAAAAAATTACCCCACGGTAAGCCTATTTCTAATTGAAATCTATTCATTGAGATGAAGTTGGAGACACTATCAAGAGGGAGACAGACGCAGGCCAACTTCTTTGGCACCTTGATCTGTAGTCAGTATTTAAGAAACAAGCAACCAAATTCACCTATAACTGAGAATCCAGGGATAAATGGAGAGGATATCTTGACTGCCAGTGATAATATGCCAATGATAACCGGTAGCATACTGACTACCAGTTACTGACCCATTGCTACTGACAACTGGGGGCTTTGCTAATATTCTTAGAAAAGGGAAGTGACTCTTCATCTCAGAGGTATAATTAGCTCTACTCTCCTAATAGGACCCCACCCTCAGCCAGCACTTTCATGCATTGATCAATTTCATAATCACTAACACCATTTAAGTGAATAGCGTCATGATTCCATAAATTTTATGGAAGAAGAAGAAGAAGAAGAAGAAGAAGAAGAAGAAGAAGAAGAAGAAGAAGAAGAAGAAGAAGAAGAAGAAGAGGCGGCAGTGGCAGCAGAAGCAGCAACCTAGACCCCTGCAGCAATAAAGAGTAGAATCTGGAGGGTAACAACTCTATGGCAATAGTAATAATTATTATTACTGTTAGGTTTCATTGAGAGCTTACTATGGGCACTGTGCAAGCATTTTATTTGCATTATTACATTTAATCCTCACACTAAACCTAGGAAGGCAGGTACTTTATTATTAGCTTCGTTTTAAAAGAAACTGAAGACTTGGAGATGCTAAGTCATTTCTATAAGGCCACACAACCAGTGGGATCTAATTCAGAATTTGAACCCATGCCTATTTGACTAGAGTGATATTTTCTCTGAAAAGGCTATGATTTCTAGCCTTCAAGTATCACACAACAGAGATACACTGCTAGCCTTTTCCACAGAGCCATTACTGATCTGCTTGCCTCTGTTGGAGCTATCCACCCACCTACCCACCCATTAGCAACCAAGAAAAAAATAAATGATGGAGAGCAGAATGTCACCAGTGCTTAGCAATAGGAAATGCATCTGCTGAAGGCGCTAGAGAGATCCATTCAGACTGGCCAGGGAGGCCCGGGACAATAGAAGCAAAAATGATGGAATCCCTATCATATTTTTTTGGCCCCTAACTCTTTTTGCCTTGCCTTTCAACAAGATATATGCCTGCCCTTAAGCGTTTGGAACCAGCTAAGGTCCCGATTTCAGTAGCTGGTGGGTGAAGGAAAGGGTAAAAGAACTTCCTGAGCTATTGGGGAAACTAGAAACTAGCCGAGTGACAGAGAGAATGCCAGAGAAAAACTGAGAGGAGCCTTTCAAAGGATGTACCCTAGAAGGGTGGCGGACAAAAAGCTGTGGGCAATTATGCTAAGAGGGCCTTTTAGTGGCCCTTTGTATACTAGCTGAGCCTGCTCACAGCCTGTGGGCTGAAGACACTGAAGAGCCAGCAATGGAACAAGATGGAACAACAGCAGCTGACAAGCACTAAACTGCCAGCTAGTCGCTTCACAAGGAGCCTGGCAGGCTGACTGGCAGCCAGGCACCCTCTCCTCTCAGACGCAGCTGTTCAGGACCTGCCATGACAGTAGTGCCAGGCCACCCTGTTAATGAGTGTCCCAGTTCTCCCAATTTGCCAGAGAAGTATCCCGTCATGGGCGGGAGGTTCTTGTGTCAGAACTGGGGTTCACTCTATAGTGGTGACTATAATGTCCTAGAGTCCTACTACCTCCTCTCTGAGACTTGGGTACTGGGGATTACAATGTGTGCAGCTGAAACCCAACTTTCTCCAGTGCTGCTGAGCAGATCGCCATTTCTGTCCCTCAGTCTCTGCCCCCCACCCCTGCTTCTGCCCATTTCACTGACCTAGAAGCATTGGAGTGACAAGAATTTCTCCTGACACACACACAGACATATCTCTCCTCAAGAAGCCCTTTCATCCTAAGGTCCATAGCTCCTTGGGCTCTGATATATTACCCTCCCTTTCATTTTTTAAAAAAATTCTGTTTTGTATGTGTACATCTAAGTTGTGTGTGTGTTTGTGCATGTGTGCCTGAGCATGCATGCATACATGTGAACATGCAGGTATGTGTACATGTGGAGGCCAGAGGCTGGCATTGGGTGTCTTTTTCAATTCTTCTTCCCCCTTTGAGAACTTATTGAGATGGGGTCTCATCATATAGCTCTGGATGGTCTAGAACTCATTAAGTAGACCACGTTGGCTTCAAACTGTAGTTCACCTGACTCTGCCTCCCAAGTATGTATTGGGTATCCATCCACCTTATGTATGCCCCAGGGAGTGAGGATTTCTGATAACAACTTGTGGTACTCAGTTCTCTCCTTCTGCTTCCTTG